CAAACATCGAACAACAATCATAATGAATAATATTGAATCTTTATTTAGCAATTCTATTGATCTTAAAAGTTAGTGATGCAGAATTTGCTGATGTTTGTCTAATTGAATCAATTTGAGGTACAGTTAAGAAAAAATTGAAAGGCAAAAATTTTCAGAATGAATTAGAGATTGAAATATTTAGTAGTGCAAGAATACAAGATGTTTATCGCAGCTAATAGCGGGAAAATTACTGATTTGATTAAAACACGTGACAGATCAAGATGAAGAGCAGATACATAAGCAGTGTCGCACTTTTTGTCCTTGTTTTAGCTAAAGAGTTTCGATTGATAAATCCCATTGAAACCACTAGTTTTTAGTTAACATCCTCAATAGAACACCAGAAAAGTTCTAACAAATAATTCAAAAAAAAAAATTTCTATGAATTACATATTAGTTGTATTTCTGAGAATATAGGAGGTAGACAGCATATATTAGATTTAGAGGTCTAATATATAGTCTGTAAATATTAGTTTATTCTTTGAAAAGAAACATAAGAAGAAAAATTACTTAAAGAAAATCAAAACTTTTTAGACAATCTTTATTTTTTTTTATTAGGAACATCGAGACTATTGTTGATTTTAGTTTTTGTATTATTTTATAAAGATATTCAATGTGTTATGATCTTTTTATTTCTATGTTCTAATTCAAAACTCATATAAACTAAACGTTTACGAGATAAAATTTCAATTTATTTCAAATGTAATTGTCAATTGAGTATGATTAAAAAGCTCTCAAGTTCAATATGAAGAAAAAAAAATATATACGCACTGTACCACGCATACACCTCCGCTTTCGGAAATAGAAATTATTAATTTTTCTTTAACGATCAAACGACAACGATGACGAAGAAAAAAATATTTATATTTTTCCATTCGAACAATAAATATTTGCCGATTGAAGAACCTTGAGATAAGCATTCAAATGTCAAATTCAAACTTCGATTTTACAATTAAGGTAGGCATAATCATAAGATGTCATTTTTATTATTTACAATTAATGATAGTTTTTTCGTCCAACAAAACGTCCTGTTTTTACTCATAATGGTCTTTTGGATAGTCGTACTAAACGTATAATAGCTCAAGATCGTCTTATTGTAGCTGAACAACGAATTCTTAATGTTGAAAAGCAAAAATCAGCTAGTAATCTTCAATTATTAGCATTTGAACAAAAACAAGTAGAAAAAAGATTATTATCTATTCAGAATTCTAATCAATCGGTACAATTTCGCCAACGTTCAATCAGTGAAGGTAATCTTCAGAATATTCATCAAACTGCTTCTTGGAATGATACATTTGATATGAATAAATCAAAATTACATACAACTAGAAACTCAAATGTTTCATTTCTACCACAAACTAACAATATTCCACGAAGCTTTTCAGTACATTCTGATAGAGTTACATCAGAAAATCAAGTCTCGGCAAGTGATACAGAAAGTAATGAAGAAGAAGAAGAAGAAGAAAGTAATTCAAAATTAAGTAAAAAGGAAACAATTCAACTACCTGTAATCACTATTATTCCACCGGAAGACGACGTCTTATTTTTTGTTCAATAAAGTATTTATCTTTGTTTTAAAGTTAATCACAAAAAATATTCTTTGGTTTTTTTTCAATCTATTAAATATAAATAAACATGAATGACTAATAAAATCACACCTTTTTCTTTTTGTTATATTTAAGAATTATTGATTTTTATTACAGGACAAATAGAAACCAGGAATTTAAATTAAGCCGTTGATTTGATCTATTGGTAGTATATATATAACGTAGTTTAATTATACCATAACAGAGCTATATGCACAAGGAGTCAAGTATCTTTCTTACAGGAAAGGTCTTCTGATTGATATATCGCTTTTAAGTTGAAACTATTTGTATCATCGAGACTTTAATAGAATGTCTCTGACAGCACCAAGGAACCAAGCACTCGTCAATATTTAAATTTTTGATTTTTTATGTGCATTCGAAAGGACAATGTCTGAAACTAATAATCCTAAATTTTTAGCTCATTTGGCCTTTTTATAGTAAAGTTAGTCTGGATCGACTTTTAGAATCGGGCACCTAGTATCAAGAATAACAATGATAAATCATGTCATTAATGTTTGATAGTATTACACTACTAAGAATAAGAGAATTTTTTCATGTTATATACCAAATGATAGGGTATGGACAGATGAAAAAAATGAGCTATATGAAATATTGTATATCATTCCTTTACTGGGCTAACATGAATGAAAAACGGTAACG